AAAAAAAAAAAAAAAAAAAAAGAAAAGAAAGAAAAAAAGAAAGAGAAAAACGAAAATTTGGCCTGGCTCATCCAAGCAATATATATTCATGGGCTACCCACTAGATTAGCCTGTTTCAACATACCTACTAAAGTAGGCCCAGAATCATAAAGGCCCAATTAAGATATTTATAACCCATAAGAACACAAAAGCCCGTCTTCGCTTAAATAATAAAATCACAAGTTCACAACAAAACCCTAACCAACGTCTCTCTCGGAGCCTCTCCCCACCACGCAGGAGCTGCAGCCGATCGGCACCGCAAGGTCCGAATCCAAACGAGTTGCTTTATGTTTACATTATCTGATAATTTAAATCGTCGGCCTTTTTTATTTTTATTTTTATTTTCTCAAAATGATTACCCGCTACAATTTCTGTGACTGTGTTCAGCTGTTACTGTTTTGGGTTTGTACATTTTATGTAATTGGTAGAATATGTTCGTCGTAAATGGCGAAATGTGTGTTATTGTGAGCTATTACGAGCTCAGCGTGCTTTTAATTGAGCTTAACTGAGCTATGAGATGCTTTCTGATCCATTTAGTTAGCTGAAGTCATGTATCTGATTATATCTGTGGTTATGACTGTACTTGAGCTGTAATTTGGCTATTTTGAGCAGCTTTGATATGTTTTTACTGAGGTATGCATTTTGTGGGCTGTCTGAATTAAAATTTTCTCGTGGGAGTTTGAGTGTGTGCTTGTGTGATTTGGTAAGAAATGATTATCGGCCTCTGGCTGAAAAAAGTGAAAAATTAAAAATATGGGTGTTCTTTATTTTGTTATGTAATGCGAATCTCCTTATTTGGGTTTGCCGAAAGATTGTATTTTTTGGTTTTTTGCAATATTCCCGTAAGTGTGTTGAGAATTGAGGTAGGTGGAATTAAGATTGATTTGTGAATTTCTGAAGTGATCTGAATCGAGTCTTATGTTTTTCCATAGGAGTCATGGCTGTCCCGTTGCTCGACAAGAAGATTGTTAAGAAGCGCGTGAAGAAGTTCAAGAGGCACCAGAGTGATCGATTTGTTTCCGTTAAGGTTGTTATTTGCTACATTTCTCATTCAATCACCTTATATAGTATTTACATGTCTGAAATATCATATCCATATTGATTTCTGCAAAAAGTTAGCCTTTTGCATTTATTCAGAGTTTGCTGTAAAGACACTGATCAAGAACCACCTGCATATGAAATATAACATATAAAGGCATTTTCGTCCTCGTTATCTTGACTGTAGTTTTCATCTCATAGCAGCTTTTCTGCATAGTAGAATAAATGGTTCTATATACTTTTAAATCCCATCTGAATATTTGGGTTTTCTTGTTTTGTTTTTCTGTAGGAAAACTGGCGCAGGCCCAAAGGTATTGATTCTCGTGTCAGGAGGAAGTTCAAAGGATGCACTCTTATGCCAAACATTGGCTATGGCTCGGACAAAAAAACCCGCCATTACCTACCCAATGGGTTCAAGAAGTTTGTTGTGCACAACGTGAAAGAACTAGAGGTCCTGATGATGCACAACAGGTTCCTTAAATTTCTCAGTTTTTTTTTTCTTTTTTTTTGGGGGCACTNGATTTTGAATATTTAAAGAAAGGGTTTAGCGGGCGAATTTTTGTTGCGTATCTATTGCTTTAACGGCAATCTTATTTCATTTGAACTTTGCAAATGACATTATGTCTTATTTATAAATGTTTCTTCTTGGGCTCTTTCCCTTTTGTTGAGCTCTGTGTTGTGTTGTTTTGTTTCTGCAAGCTTTGTCTTGTCCATGATTGTTATCTTGATTTTCTTTAATCTAAATCTAATGCTTAGTTTTTTTTCTTAGAAAAAAAAAAGAATGAGACGAGAGAATGTACCAAAGCCTATTAGGCTATGTTTGGTAAACTTAGCTGATAAGGTAGTTGATATATTATTAGTGAATTTCGTGCGTATAACTGATAACTTTTGACTGAAAAACTAACTAATATGATAAAAGTGTTTTATAATATTAGCTGATAAACAAATTGAATAAAAATTTCTACGGACTTATTTGAAGAACTATCCAAGGAAACTTGTGATACAAGTTCAAACTTTTTACCAAACAAAGTTTATATGCATACAAAAGTTTTTATAAGTGAACTAAATACGTTATAAGCTAACTTATAGTATTTACCAAATATATCTTTATACTTTTTTATTATTTTTGCCAACTTGCTCTTGCTTATAACGATATTATTACATCACTATTTGATGTAATTAGAAAAATAACGAAAATTCACCGTCGCGTTATTCACCTACAACCGTTATAAAGACACTAATCCAAAAGGCAAGTCGGTTAAATAAGTGTGCTAATTTGAAAAGGGTGTCTTATATTTGCAAGTGCATGAATTTTCTGTCCCAAGGTCCAAGAAATTTGGCTGCAAAATGCAAAATCTTGGCCTTCTATTATTTAATTTAGTTCGACACTTTGAAGTTGTAATTTTTATATATTCAATGTGGATTTATTCAATCAACAAAAAACATGTTTTATTGAACTTTTATGAAACTTTCCTAATATTTAAGTTTTTATTTAACTTGTCAGAAAACAAAAAATTAGAACCTCCGCACCGTGGGAACTAGATAATATACATATCGATTAATGTGACAGAAGATTTACATATTTTATAAAAAATAGGTATATGGTAGATGTGATAGAAGATTAACATATTTTATAAAATAAGTATATGGTTGAAAAATCACTGTGATAAGTGGTGGTAAATATATCTTAACGTGCTCACGGTTATTAGGTGAATATGCATAGTTACCACATGAAACTAGTATATTCAAATAACAATGAAACCTCCACTATAAATTGAAACTCGCAATTAATATTAGAATGCCTACAAAAGTTACAATGTACTCCCTCCATTTTGAAATATAAGGCATTTAAGGTTATTGCACAAATATTAAGAAGACATTAATTAATGAATAAATTGACTAAATTAACTTTATTTACTCTAATCACAACCACTCCACACTTCCTTAATTTCAACACAATGAGAGTATATTTGGAAAAAAATGCAAAAATTTGTCTTGATTTTTTAGCGCGCCTTATATTTCAAAAAAAATGAGAAATCTTTGTACGCCTTATATTTCAAAATGGAGGGAGTACTATTTTTGAAATTTATTTAAATTGCTCAGGTAATAATAGTGAAATAGTACTCAATTTAGCCCAAATCATTTTAGATGCAATCCAATGCTATTTGATCATTTAGGTGCATGACACAATGTTAGTTGCTCTAATTACTCTTTATTTTTCAGCATTTATGAAAGCATTCAATGGTTGCAATATTAGAAATCATACGCACCAAAGGTTCTTTTTCACAATATTAGCTGTTTTCCAACATACGCATTTACAGACACATGAAGATCAAAAGGCCAATCTGTATGTGATTGTGAAGTCATTCAATCATGCAGATTATTAATTAACTAATTGTCTGGGCCATTCAGTACACATGTTTATTTTCAAAAACAAATTTTATTTTATTTTAATTAATTAATTATTTTATTATTATTATTGTTATTATTTTATGTGTGTGTGGAGGGACTTCAACATTAAATGCCTGGAAATTTTTTCTACTGTGCACGCTTGCTTTGGTCCCTTCTTTAATTCTGGAAGAAAGGAAACTGAATTAGTGCCAAAAGATGGCACATAAATTGAAGATTATTCAATTAGAATGATCATTATGCTCCAACTATATACTAGTTGTACGAAATTAAATTATGTTGTCTTCCATAATTTATGGGGTAGTTAGAAAACTACATTTGAGATCTAATAATTTTTTTTAAATATAAGCTAATCAACATGTACCTTAACTGCACTTCTTATTTTATTTTGTTCTTGAAAGCGTAATTGTTAGTTAGATAATCACATTTTTGCAGTGCATAAACATGCATTTTTTTAAAATAGTATGACAAGCCCACCCATCTAACGGTTATGTCGTATCACATAAAAATTTGTGTAAATTATATAGAGTATGACTCAAAAAAATAGTTATGTGTGACATTATTATAATTATTATCATTATTGCATACCAAATTATCTACGAATAAAAAAAAGAAAAAAAAAAAGAGGAAAAGTAAGGATGATTTCTATATGAGCGGTGTCTAAACCCTAAATTCATTAATGTGTCAGTCACATTCAAATCCAAAGCCTTGTTCATTCACATGTACTGTAGAAACTAGAAACAACGTCATTAACGATGCCAGAAGAAAATTGCTAGCAAACATTAAAGCATGACATGTTTTTCCAGTTTTCATATTTAATTCTATTAAGAATTAAGGTGCGTTTGTGTATGAAAAAACTCAATCCATACTCAAACTTTAATCCAACTTCATTATTCTCAATATTATCGATATAATTAAATAATATCAATCAATTATTCTTACACATCACATCAACTTAATTTACTATTCATCCACTCACATAATTTTAATTAACATCACTTCGCACCATCTCTCTCTTACTTTTATATCAATTCAATTTTAATTATTTTATTTTAAATATTATTTTAACATATAATCAAAATTACACTAACAACTAATCATACCACTTTTTTCAAAATTAACTATGATTAATAAAAAACTTTATTCCGAATGGATATCTTTGTATACAAATACGCCTTTAATGTGAGATACTCCCAAAAAACAGAAGAAATTATTTTTAATTCTATTAAGAATTGAGCAATTTATATTGTAGGTGTAATAGGGGTATATTTGGTTCTTTCAAATAAGAGATGCAACAATTTAATTTCTGTAAATTATTATTTTCACTCAATGATATAAATTCAAACTTTGTAACTAGTGTTGTCAAATTAAACGACTCGAGATGGAGGCCTTAACGAGTCAAGCTCAAGTTTATTTAAATCTCGTTTGGTTAACAAGCCCAACTCGACTCGATAAGGCTTGAAAAAAGAATATATAATTTTCTATAGTTCAACTTGTTAAAACTCGAGATCGGTTCGTTAATAAGGCTCGAACTCGGCTCATTAATATTGATAAACGAGCTCGAACTCATGAATTTCTAGTTCATTTATATAACGAATCGAGCTCGGTTCGACTCGCTCGCGTTTACAAGCCTACTTGTAGCTATAATTTATTCAGCAAACATTTTTTTTTTTCACATTAGTCAAGAAGACATACAGAAGAAGAAAATAAAATCATATCGGAGCTACATCGCATTATGCACAGGTTATTTGGTACAAAATGCGTATATTCATGTATACGAATCTATCATTTTATTTAAATACTACATAATGCGAAATGCAAAATTAATGAATTAATCTAATACTTTTATTAACAGTGCCTTGCCATAGGATCAAATATGTATTGTCATCTCATACACTGTAACCAAAATTCCTACACACATACATACATGTCCACGTGGACAAAAATTTCCACTTAACCCAAATTATTTATTCGATAAAAATTTGTGAATACTTACACCTGTACATGTATGCATCAGAATTTCAGAGTTAAAAAATAAAAAAATTGTCATTTTGAATTTTAGTCGGGTGGTTGCTGGCCCACGCGTCCTTATTCCTAGTTTCTTCACAATTTTTCTCAATTTTACCGTCATCGTCAGCTTTGAACACCTCCTTGACGTAACTCTCCACGTCAATTTTCTTATTTCCATCTATTCCCTCAACATCCGTTACTTCAGGAATAAACGGCGGCCGGGGCATTTCCGTAATTCCGGCCCAATCCACGCCCCTGAAGAATTCATGGCCCTTGATCTCCTCCGCGTCGGAGATCCTCCTCGCCGGGTCCTTCTCGAGCAATTTTCCGATCAGGTCTCTCAACGGCGTCGCCTCCCCCGTCAGATCCGGCGCCTTGGTGATGATCCGGTAGAAGGTCTCCTTCCGGTTAGCGCCGCGAAACGGCGTCGTTCCGTAGAGCATCTCGTAGAGCATGACGCCCAGGCACCACCAGTCGACGGCGAAGTCGTGGCCGTCACCGAGGACGATCTCCGGCGCCACATACTCCTCCGTGCCGACGAACGAGTTCGATTTCTGGACCGAGTCAGAGTCGGAGCTCGGCGAGTCGGGTCCGAGTTCCGATCGCCGGACCGAGTCAACCGGCGAGATCTCCGAGTCGCGCCGCTTGAACAGAAAACCGAATCTCCTCTTTTTTTTCTTCTTTGGCGAGGTTATCGAAGTAGCTGGAGTGGAGGGCGCCGGACGAGTTTCCGGCGATTTTGGGGGGAGCTTCGTCGACAGATCGTAATCCACTAGCATAAGGTGGCCGTTTTCCTGAACCATCACGTTTTCCGGCTTCAAATCACGGTAAACGATGCCGGAATTGTGGAGATACTCCAACGCGAGCACCAACTCCGCCGCGTAGAATCTGAAACCGAATGCAACAATTTTTCATGAGCTTTTTCCCCAAATTAATTCAATTTTTTTTTTCCCAAAATTTTATCGCCAAATTCGTCAAAATTAAAGAAATTAAACGGTGTAAATCGGCAATTCACCTGATGATATCGTCGGAGAACATCTTCTCCGTCTGCTTCTTCCTCAGAAAATTCAGATCGCGGCCGGAGCAGTAATCAATAGCGTACCCAACCACCTCATCAGTCATCAGAACTCCGTGGAGCCTCGGCAGCAAGGGATGGCGGAATGAGGACAGAACCTCCCTCTCGAAGCAGATCCTCCGGTACTCGCCGCCGTCGCTCGCTATCCTCTTCTTCTTCTCGATCGAGGATCTCAAAATCGCCTTGAGCGCGAGCAGCTCTCCGCCGTCGGTCCGGACGAGGAAGACAACGCCCTTTGCGCCGCGGCCGAGAGCGGAGATCACCTTCAGGCTCTTCAGATCGAGGTAGGGCGTACCGTCGCCGTCGTGGTCGGTGCATTGGCGAAGTCCGTCGTGCATGGCGGAGGTCTCCGGCGAGCAGCTGCCTGAAATCGCAGTTATTGTTGAATGCCTGTGCAGAGATTTAATTAAATTCAGTGCAATTGTTGTTGGTGAGTGATTTTTTATTTTCTACGTTTTTCTTATAAGTGGACAAAATTTTCAGGTTGGCTTTCGTTTTTTATATTTTTGGGAGAAAATGAAATTCATTTTCGCTTTATATATGTGTGACTGTGTGGATTTACTTGCTGGGGAAGGATTTTTAGAATGGGGAAGGGGAAATTTCGAACTGCCAAAGTATATGCTCTCTAAGACTAAGCGACGTCGTTAGGTGGTATGTGTGAGTTTCTTCTTCTAGAAGCAGGTGACAAAATTGACTTCTGTTTTAAAAAAATAGAGCGAAATAATAAAAAATTAAAAAGAGACCGAAGCTAATGACAGATATTATTACGTTAGCCGCAATGCAAGATCCGGGATTCCTCTTTTTTTTTAAAAAAAAAAAGAAAAAATATTGTCTCTTTTGACTTTACAATTTGCTGTTTATTTTTTAGTCTCGTCGTCATTACTTCTAGACTATTTGTTTATTAGGATAAATTTCATGGTAACCGTGAACAAGTCCCGTTGAATTACATATAATCACATGTATATATGTGTGAGTGTACAAATCTTGATGAGCAATGAGTTTGGAATGGGGTTCAACATGAAGCTTCCACGCAAACCTACCAGATTGATGCTCCAGTGACCTGCAAAGTGTCGGGTCAAATCGCTCAGGTTATTAGATTTTGCTCGAGGGAGTATGAGAAAACTATAATATATATAGAGAGATAAGAAATCATATGAGAAAGAGGGATAGTGAAAGAAATAAAAATGAATTGTAGTCCTTTGATGGGATATAACAACGCTCCAGACTGGTCAAAGGGTCCAACTTTAGTCAATAGGCGGTGACATTGATGTATTTTAGTCATTACTCAAAATGCACTGTTGCGATAAAGTGTAATTTATTTAACAATATAGTGCAGTCGGTGAAGTGATATTTTTAACGTGCAATTCCGAGCACGACATGGTGCAATGTACTTTACATTAATGTGCAATTATTAAAAATTTTATTAAATTATAGATTTGGCCCATGAACTAAATTGTAATCCAATTAAAATTTATAAAATTGCAGATAGGTCCCTCAACCCTATTTAACTTACAAAAAAAAGAAGTTCAGCCCCCAAATGAACTCGCCGGCGAATTTTCGTACAGCTTCCGCCGACCACCGTGGGTCTACAGCCTCCACCTGGTGTTGCAGCAGGTTCATCCGTCGGTTGCAAGAAGAAGAAGACGGATTGGCCAACTTTGATTTCAATTTTGACAGGGGCGGCGATACTGTAGGGCCGGTCGCGAGCGGCCGATCTAGGGTTCAGTTGTGATATCGATGAAGACGATGGAGGGAAATTTCGATGTCGTCGGAGGACGGTGAACCCAGTGAGCGGAGCCGCGGGCCTCCTCTCAGGAACTCCGGCGATGGCTCGGTAATTTCAAACGGCGGAGTGGCTCGCGGTGGAGGTTGATTTCGGTGGTATGCTCCCAGCACTTGCGGAGGCGCGACATTATTTGAGATCGCGGCGGCTGAGGTTGTACTGGCCGGCGACTGGGCAGCTGGCGGTGACCAACGGGCTGAGTTGTGACGTGTGTGTGTGTGTGTGTGTTTGTGTGTGTGAGAGAGAGGACGGGTGGGGTGGGTGGAGGTGGCGTGGGGTTGTGTCAGGTGTGATGTGGTGTGGGGTCTGAAGTGGGGCTATTGTTGGGTGTAATTGAAAAATGTCCAATTTACCCTTAATCAGTATAAATGTTTGCTTTTTTTTGTCGTTGGATTATCAAATCGAACGTCTGTGATGTATTCTTATTTCTTTCACTGACCACCATTCTTACTTGAACTCAACCCTACATACATAATGTGTGTAATGAAATTAACCTAATTGCCCTTAAATACTTAAGGTAACTTGGCCTTTAAGAGAACCCTACTTAGAAAAAGATATTTTTGAATCTACTTTCCTAACCAACCACGTATTTGAGATCTTTAAGACTTTTAGGTAAGATATACTTTCCATCCATGAAAGGTTCTCCAGTCACGCCACACGGCTCTTTGATTTTTAGGTCGTAACCACCACCTTCATGTCGTAAGCGGTGCCCAGCTTGCAACCACGACCTCCACTCCACTACCCCACGACCTAAAGGTCTTGAGTCACCTTGTATATCCGAGCTCTTTAATTTTTCTACTTGTGAGCTACCTGATCCAGCTCTACTTGTATCTAGAGCTGTCAAAACGGGCCTAGGCCCCTGGGCTGGCCCATCTCGCCCAACAATAAGGTTGAGTTGGGCCTGTATTTTCTAGGCCTGCCGCGCGGGCTACGGGCTGATTTATAAAAAATAAGTTATAATATATATATATAGTCTATAGATTTTCTATAGTACAATAGGTTTGAAAAAAATGATGTATATAGCATGTTTATAAATTATAAATAAAGATGTAAGCTACATAATCCTGCCTCCGCCTTTAATATAGCTTACATATTTCCATTACAAATACGTCATTGTAGCCTGTAGTTACAGTAGGTTTTNAAAAAAAAAAAAAAAAGTCAGGCTGGGCCTGCTTTTCTCAAGCATGTCCTGTTGGCCCGTTTTGATAGCTCTACATGTATCCCGAGCTGATTGAGGGAACTCCTTACCTTCCGTGTACACTGGGATCGAACTGAACTCACCTGAACCGACCTCTACCGAGCTGATCTTGCTTGGTCGGTTGACCTAGTTGTTACGGGTGCTATATCAGATCTGACGCTAAATTCTAGTACACGAAGTCAAAATAGGGTGAAATATTTAGATTATTAGAGAGTGTTTGTATACAAAATATTTCACTCACATTTTAATTCATTTTCAAAATCAAACTAAACTTCACTCAATCCAACTATTCGTAATATTATTTATATTTTCAAGAGCCCCAATTTTTTTTCATATGGTGAGTGTATTTTTTATCTTAAATTTTGGTTTTCTCGTCTTTTTTTCATGTCAAATAATGAGCTCAACACAAAATCTTTCAGTTGGTTTGTTGATTGCGCTATTCCATTTAAAAAAATCATAGTTAAGATTTTAAATTATACTATACATGAATCGAAGATTGAAATTAGTATACAACTTAGCCTTATTATTATATTATTATTATTACAAAATCAAATACAATTAGACCAGTTGCATGATACTTGATATTGATTTATCACATTAATCAACTTTTGCAGTTAACAGTTGGTTGTTTGATGGAAAATGGAGGTCATAAATTAATAATTAAATAAATAAATACGTAAATAGTTTAACTGCGTCGCACGTGTCTACTGTTACATAGAGCACAACTCTAATACGGCGCCAACTTTTTAAATACAAATATATATACTTTTTGTTTCTGTAGATAATAATATTAATTTATTTTTTCAAACATTTCTAGGCCATAGCCCACGAACTACTTTGGCTACTAACCAAATTGGACGGCATTATTATTTATTGAATTCAACTTTTCATTTTGTATGCTTCATATATTTTTCATTATTTTAAGTTAAAAGTCGGAATAATTTTTTCTTTTTCGGTACAAGGAATAAATTTAATAGTAAGTAAGTGATGCGAGGCACATTTCTTTGAAGAATTTTAATTACTTCAGATCTAAATCTACTACGCCCATGACAGATATTATGCGCGATTAGATATGAATTAAATCGATTATGATGTGAGTTAAAGTGAATTATTTTAAATAAAATAAATTTAAAATTAAATAGTATTTAATACGTAATGATAAAAGTTGGTATGATAAAAGTTAGAGAGTAATTATGAGAGTTGATAAAAGTTAAAATTATGTGAGTGAATGAATAATGAATTAAAGTTGAGATGATGTGTGAAAATGACTATTGGTATTATTCAGTTATGTTTATAAAAAAAAAAAAGTATGAGAATTATGTTGAACTGTATTTCGAATTAGGTGATTAGATATTAAATGACTCAACAGATTATAACTTATAATTAATTGAGTTGAATCATAACTCATATCTAATCACGTCTAATTAGAAAAGTTGCTTTCAGTGAACAAAAAATTGGCAAAAAGAAAAGATACTATTGTGTGCAGTTTTTATTAGAATTGTCCACGAAAGCAGCTTGGTTTGGCCTGTCCTTCACTTAAACAAGTTTAGCGCAAGCAGCTAATTGAATTCATTTATTAAGCAAGTTGAGTCGAGTCGACTCGCAAACGTATATTTTTTGAAACATGATAAAGTTTAAATGGAATAGCTGAACTAAATTGTTGTGAATTAAGATTTGTAAAGTCTTGTTTTTTTAAACTAATTGAGCCAAGTTGAACCGAACTTTAATTGAAACATGTCGAGCTAAAATTGAACTTATTTTTATTTGTTAAACAAGTCGAACCAAGCTGACTCGATCATAAACAAACCCGAGCTCGAACATGAATTACCCGATTTGGCTGACCCCGATAACACCCCTACCACTCTTCAATTTTGATTATGAACTCAGTTTGAGTACATGACCCTTAATGAAGGCTACTCTTAGTTTAAAAACAGTACGAATGATGTGTAGTCAAATTTTAATTAATTTCATACTTAAAAATTATTTTATTCAAATAGTACTTTTCACATTATAAACATGTATAATTTTCTTGAAATATCTAACTTTCAGACCCATCCACATTAGAACTCGTAACTTAAAAACTTTTAAGTTTGCTTAATCCTATAATTAAATCAAGTTCTTGCTCAACCAAAAAAAAATCACACTAATATTATATAATGATCCAAAACACAAATTCAAACATATATTCAAAAAATAATTTAAGTAAAAGATATGGCTGATACACCTCTGAATAAAGTCTATGTATCTATTCATTTTTGTTCGATAAACAGTGTTTTAGGGTTAATTAAATTAGAGTTTTGAATTGAATCAGTTGTTTGACTTGCCGAAGTTTTAGTTTAACTATTTGGTAAATTATGATTTGAAACATTATGGATAAAAAAATTAATTAATTGCTTAATTCTTTGCATAATCAGATAGTTAGAACTATTAATTCGATCAACTATATGGTAAACATGACCAGTTTTTGTATGTAATCCCTTAGTTGCACCTACACTTGACAAATTTAAGTTGCCTGTTACGCAAAATTAAACAAGGTTTTATTTCTTACTATAGAAAGAACTTTAGTTAAAGCTAAAATTACTCATGAAATTTAATCCAGTAAATTGATTTTGCTATGAAGTCAACAGTTGGCTC